AGATGATGGCCCAAGTCTCTGATGGAGTTCAGGTTTCCTGGCTTTGGCCTGTTCCAGCCCTGACTGTTGTGGGCATCTGGGGAGTGAACCAGAGAATGGAAGATTCTCTCTCTCTCTCTCATATTCTGCATTTCAAATAAATAAGTAAAATTTTAAATTGCCTTAAAAATGAAATGATAGAAAATCCTACTTGGGCCTGACCTTGCTCAGCACAGCAGGATCTTTGGAGAAATAAGAAAAATTAGAGCTTCTGCCCAACCAGGCCCCGGAGGGAATGCTTGGCTCTGTTGGACTTGGCCCTTCTGTGCTAAACCTCAGATGCTTGAAAGAGGGATTTTGTTGGCCACCAGCTCTACAGGACTATAAACCCACAGATGAAGAGATTTTAAAGTGGAAAAGGGGGATTCTATGCTTGTGCCCCCCCCATAATAACTGCCAATCCATTCATTTGTTAATGGAACAAATATCTACAGGACACATATCATACGCTAGGTACTGACTGAGCCACAGAGAGGAGTAGAAGACTATCCTTGCCCTTGAGAGGCCCACAGCCTATAGGGAAGAAAACACAGATCTGTTCATTACACCAAGTATAGAAGTAGCTCAGAGGAGCAGCATCCAATCTTGCTTGGAGAGTTTCAGGGGAGGCTTTGACAAGGAAGGCTTTGAATCCTGAAGAATGAGATGTTTCCCAGATGAAAGAGTAGAGAGAAGCTGAAGAGCATTCCAGAGAGAAGGAGCAACACATGCGAAATACCTAGTGGGCCATAGAGAGCTTGACCACTTGTGTGAGAATCTGAGCAGGTCAGCCAGCTCGAGGACAGGGCTTGAGGCATTGCAGTTCCTGGCAGAGAGCAGGACCCACTTTCCCACATTTTTGTTTTGTTCTGAATGAAACCACCAACTGGTCTCTGAGGAGGTCTGGGCACCAGGATTCTGGGCGAGGGGAAGAGATTGGCCTGTGAGAGTCCAGTTTGTTAGCCAAGTTCATTGGGTAATCACCATGAGAGACCTGTTGGCACAGCGCAGTCCCTAAAACTTGGCCCAGGAGTTTCCTTAGGGTCCAAGAAAGACAAATGAGAACTGGTGGAATAGACATTTAAAATTTTATTTTCTTTGAAAAGCAGAGCAACAGAAAGAGATGGACTGACAGACAGAGATTTCCCTCCCACTGCTTCACTCTCCAAAATGCCTGCAGCAGCCCCGACTGGGCCAAAGTGAAGCTGGGAGTTGCGAACTCAGTCTGAGTCTCCATATTGGTAGCAGGGGCCCAAATTCTTGAGCCATCACCGGCTGTTTCCCATTGTGTGCATTAGCAAGAAGTTGGATCAGAAGCAAAGTAGCTGGGACTTGAACCATGTACTTCCATATGAGATACAGGTGTCCTGGGTGGCATCTTAACCATTGCACCAAATGGCCATCCTCCACAAGGACACTTTTTAAAGGATTAATTGGAATGCTCAGAAATGTGGAGATTGGGTGTGGAGGAGGAAAGAAAGGAGCTGTCGTGACTGGAATAGAGTTGTGATTCATATGATCTGAGCTTGGGGACAAGAGAACCAGATGACTGTCCTCACCTTGATCAACTAAACACAAGCCTGTGCTCTGTCTATGTGTCTTGGACCTGGCTCATACTGGCTCATGAGAGCCACTAGTTAAGATTTCAGAAGTTTGGGGGCTGATGTTGTGGTATAGTAGGTTAAGCCTCTGCTTGTGGTACTAGCATCCCATATGGGTGCTGGTTTGTGTCCCAAATGCTCCTCCTGTTATCCAGCTCGCTGCTATGGCCTGGGAAAGCAGTGGAAGATGGCTCAAGTCCTTAGGCCCCTGAACCCACGTGGGAGACCCGGAAGAAGCTCCTGTCTTCAGCTTGTCTTAGCTCTGGCTATTGTGGCCATTTGGAGAGTGAACTAGCAGATGGAAGATCTCTCACTCTGTCTCCTCCCTCCCACTTGCACCCCCACCCCCCGTAACTCTGCTTCTCAAATAAATAAATCTTTTTAAAAAATTGACTTCCCAGGCTTCTCCAAAAGTGATCAATTAGACTTGTTAAAAAATAGACTTCAAGGGCCAGCACTGTAGTATAGCAGGTAAACCTGCCGCCTGTAGTGCCAGCATCCCATATGGGCTCCGGTTTGAGTCCCAGCTGCTCCACTTCCGATCCAGCTCTTTGCTGTGGCCTGGGGAAGCAGTGGAGGATGGCCGAAGTGCTTGGGTCCCTGTATCCACGTGGGAGGCCCAGAGGAGACTCCTGTCTCCTGGTATCGGATCTGCACAGCTCTGACCATTGCAGCCAGTTGGGGAGTGAACCAATGGATGGAAATCCTCTTTCTGTCTCTGCCTCTCCTTCTCTCTCTGTGTAACTCTAACTTTCAAATAAATAAATAAATAAATACAAAAAAGATTTTATAAATTTTCCAATATGGTTTCTGAATATTTCCATTATTTAAAATAAGTTATATAAATTTAATTAAATTACATTAAAAATAGAGTAATACTGTTATGCTTTGGATATGGTTTGAATGCCTCCTGAGCCTTTATGTGTTAAAATGTAATCCCCTTTGTGAGGTATTAAGAGGGTGGAAACTGAATGCAAGCATTGTGTTTGGAGGTGACACCTTTGAGAATGGATTAGGATAAGATAAATCCTGGTGGCTTTATCAGAAGGAGAGAGACACTCACACAGACACAAACACATATGTGCTCCCTTTCTCCTGCCACATGATGTTCTCCACTACCTCAGGACTCTGCTAGCAAGAAAGCCATCACCAGATGAGGCCCTAGACTTTGCACCTCTAGAACTCTGAGCTCAAATAAACCTCTTTTCTTTAAAGTAACTGCCTCTGGTATTTTGTTATAGTAACAAAAATCAGACTAATATAAACACATATTCAAAACTCATCACTTCTTGATTAT